ATCAGTACAAGTACAAGTATATTCAACGGTAAAAAAAAGAAAGAAAGATGTATGCGCACAATTTATTGTTTGGGCTGATAAATATAATTATGGTGCACACTGAATGGGAACCATGGAAACTGAATATATGCTGTATAGAATCCATGGTGTCTTACTGTTGCGACCTGACAGTTTCTCAGTGTTCTGCTTACATTTATCTACAGTGTGTCCGGTTGGCTGTGCTTCATGCTTGAGGGGCTCGTTGCAGCACCGACTGGTTAATGTGCAGTCATTGACCCTTTGTCATGGATGTAGTTGAAGCTAATGCGGTAGAACGAAGAAGACAGCCATGATGTATAATCATGACACCAGACACGCCTGCAGTTCAGTGAGGGATCATTTGTGATCGCTCTTCAGAAAGCTGACCAGGCTTCGAAGGAGAGCTCCGTCAGGGCCTGATGATGGTGCAACTGAATCACGGAAGACACCGAGGTCACATCCTCTATTTCCCTTTTGGAATTGGGCAGTTAAGCATCTCAGAGAGGAGCACATTCGAACACGTTTGCCTTCAGATGTGGACAGATGCCAAGCCAGAGGAAGTTTCTCTGCTGAGCACTGAATCTTGGACATGTGCAATTCCAGAGGAAAGTAGGAACAAAACATTTTTGCAAGCTAACATTAGGCCTTTCTGCAAGTCACTGCATGACATAAATGAATCCATTTCAAGCTAACACTGTTCCCATCCAGGAAATGACTATCGGAAGCCCACATGCAGACACAAAAACATGTATCACAACTGATTCAAAAGCCTGTAACATGCATAGTTGGGATGTCATCGTCGTTATAGTCTCTCTCCACGGTTTAATTGTGATTGCAGGGCTACACGTCGCCATCACGCCCGGGATCCATCCGTACTCATCGACCCCTCCGCACGCTGACGTCAGTGCTCGTTTAACCCCGCGCGTCGGGCCCTTAACAAGGAGTTAATCCCGGCTGTTTATCCCTCCGGCGTTGCCTCACATAGGTTTCAATCCCGCGACAGCCGGTCCCTCAACAACGCGGCCCGGGCAGGGCCGCTATTCCGGCCGTGCCCGGTTCCCGTTGCCATGGAGATGACGTCATGCCGCAGCAACGGGCCGAACTGCGCAGGCGCGAACTAAAAGGGAAGGGCGAGACAGAGCTCGCTACGCAGCCACAGCTCCTTCCGCCATTCATCCAGACGGTCGCCTGAACCCGGAGCACCAGCACCCCGCCGCGAAAGAACCAGAGCCCGCCGTCACTTGAGCTTCCTCGTCTCACGACCCCCGGACACACACCGCAGCGACAACATGCGTGAAATCGTGCATCTGCAGGCCGGCCAATGCGGAAACCAGATTGGAGCGAAGGTATGGGACCCGTCGACGTTAAATCATGACATCGACCCCGTTTACTGCTCTTTTGTGTGTGTGTGTGCGTGCGTGTGCGTGAAATCACGCTCGCCGGTGCCATTGTGTCGAGGCCGCAAAGAGGCCGCGGTTTTCCCCGCAGGAACACGTTAAATAGGTCAGCGCCGCGCAAAGGCTGGTGGCACCGCGTACAATAGCATCCTTCAGGACGGGGCGGCGGCACGCCGAGACATCCCCCCCCCCCACCCCCGCCACCCACCAGATGATGCCATTTTTAAATGAACGACAGCTCCCCCTGAGCTGCGTGTGTCTGCCCGCGGAGGAGGAGGAGGAGGAGGAGGAGGAGAAGAAGAAGAAGAGGGGTGCGGCTCAGACAACGAACAAACGCAGACGGGGCTGCAACGCGCTTCGTTTTTTCTCTGCTAACGCGCATTTAGACTCTTTGATTTGGCACCAATACACGACTCTCGGCGCTTTGCGACAAGTAAATGCGCTTGACATCATTTAATAGAAGAGTTCGGGTGTTTTAGAGGGATTAATTATTTTTGGGCGCCGCACATCCAGCGGCGTTTTCCCCACTCCCCCCAAAACAGGAAATAAAAACCACAAAGAGTGGGGCGCTCCACACCCCCTGAAACCCCTTTTTTTTTTTGTTTTCCCCTCCCAAACCCCATAGAGGGTTTTATGGGGGGGAGGCGTTGGTCTTAAAAAAAAAAATTAAAAAATTCATTTTGTTCCCCCCCCTTTTTTTTTTTTTTCACTTTAAAAAAAAAAAAAAAACTATTTTTAATTTTCATTTTTTGGGAGGGTTTTCGCCCTAAAAAAAACCTTTTTTTAAAACGAAAGGGTTTTTTTTTCTTTCCCCCCCCCCCCCCCCCCCCCCCAAAAAAAAATTAAAAAAAAAATTCAACAGTGATGTGAATTTTCATTAACGGTGATATTTCCCTCCAACCCATCTGTAGTTCTGGGAGGTGATCAGTGATGAGCATGGCATCGACCCAACAGGAAGCTACCATGGCGACAGTGACCTGCAGCTGGACAGGATCAATGTCTACTACAACGAGGCGTCAGGTCAGGACCGTTAAAACCACTTTGTTCTCATGGTCCCTCCTTTCCTTTCAGATAAACGTTTTGACACATGCGTTTGTTCCAGGTGGGAAGTACGTGCCCAGAGCCATCCTAGTGGATCTGGAGCCAGGCACCATGGACTCTGTTCGCTCTGGCCCCTTCGGACAGATCTTCAGACCCGACAACTTTGTCTTTGGTATATGATCATATATTTAACGCACCTAGTGGATATGAGCGTAATTTAATATATTAAGAATTTATTTGAGTTAGACAACAAACCAAAAAATGTTAACAAATGAGGCTTAATTATTAAAAATGGCAACCTTTTGCATCCAGGCCAGAGCGGAGCCGGTAACAACTGGGCAAAGGGCCACTACACAGAGGGAGCCGAGCTGGTGGACTCGGTCATGGACGTTGTGAGGAAGGAGGCTGAGAGCTGTGACTGCCTGCAGGGTTTCCAGCTCACACACTCGCTGGGCGGTGGCACCGGCTCTGGTATGGGAACGCTGCTCATCAGCAAGATCCGCGAGGAGTACCCCGACCGCATCATGAACACCTTCAGCGTGGTGCCCTCTCCTAAGGTATAGTGATCACGCGACGCTGCGGACGGGTGGTTTTTTAAATTTATTTGAAATGCCCCCCCCATTTTTTGACTTTCATGACTTTCGTGTGTTTTCGACCCCTCCAGGTGTCCGACACGGTGGTGGAGCCCTACAACGCCACACTGTCCGTCCACCAGCTGGTGGAGAACACTGACGAGACCTACTGCATCGACAACGAGGCTCTGTACGACATCTGCTTCCGCACCCTGAAACTCACCACGCCCACTTACGGAGACCTCAACCACCTGGTCTCCGCCACCATGAGCGGAGTGACCACGTGCCTGCGTTTCCCCGGCCAGCTCAACGCCGACCTGCGCAAACTGGCCGTGAACATGGTGCCCTTCCCTCGCCTGCACTTCTTCATGCCGGGCTTCGCCCCGCTCACCAGCCGAGGCAGCCAGCAGTACAGAGCCCTCTCCGTGCCCGAGCTCACGCAGCAGATGTTCGACGCCAAGAACATGATGGCCGCCTGCGACCCGCGCCACGGCCGCTACCTGACCGTGGCCGCCGTGTTCCGCGGCCGCATGTCCATGAAGGAGGTGGACGAGCAGATGCTGAACGTGCAGAACAAGAACAGCAGCTACTTTGTGGAGTGGATCCCGAACAACGTCAAGACGGCCGTGTGCGACATCCCTCCCCGCGGGCTCAAGATGGCCGCCACCTTCATCGGCAACAGCACGGCCATCCAGGAGCTGTTCAAGCGCATCTCCGAGCAGTTCACCGCCATGTTCCGCCGCAAGGCCTTCCTCCACTGGTACACCGGCGAGGGCATGGACGAGATGGAGTTCACCGAGGCGGAGAGCAACATGAACGACTTGGTGTCCGAGTACCAGCAGTACCAGGACGCCACCGCGGAGGAGGGCGAGTTTGAGGAGGAGGGAGAAGAGGAGGTGGCCTAAAGCGAGGAGTCGCTCGTCATTCTCGTCAACTCGTCACAACTCCATCCAACCCTCGGTCCAATTAATGCTCTGTTCTCTTTCTCTGACTCCTCTGTAATCCTTCTGTTTGCCTCCCTCTCTTTCTCTCACCGACTGCCCCGGTTCCTCCGGCGCCGGCAGCATTCACAACACTTTATTAGCTCACAGTGTTCATATAGAAGTAAACACAACCGTGCTTGTGCTTTTTGTCGGTAGCGTTCTGTCTATGTTCATTTATCACTACAAGTCAAACAGTACCTGGGCCAAGTATTCAATGAAACCGTACAACGCAAATTTGATCACTTGTCAAATTTGGCATTGGTTGTAATAAATTTGTTGGAAAAAAAAATACCTGCTTGATTTTTCTTCTGTGATACATTGAATTGTAGTAATGGAAGAATGAAATGCACACGATGGAAAGGGATTACTTAGTGTTGCAGACACTTGTTCAGTCAAAATGAATCGCAAAAAAATGATTTCACCTCGCTGTCACAGTAGGAAGGAAACTAAAATGGAGTCGTACGGATTGTGCAGTGCCAGTGAGCACCACTAGGGGGCGTCACTGGTATCAGGCTGAGTGCTTCTGTCAGCATGAAGCCCACATGATACAATAAGATACTTGACACACAAGGCTTTATGACACATCCCATTACTTTAAGAAAGAACAAAAAACACCAGATTTTGAAGCTCCTCAGTGTCCCTGAAACGAGGTTGAGTATCTGAGTGCTGACCGCTGTTCCCGTGACTTGTGCTCTAAAAGGGAGTAGTGGTCCTTATGCATAGATGAGTTAAAGATCTGATCAAACGTGGAGGAACCGAGCGGACATTTTCTCAAATGCAAATCTTCCTTTTTGCATTTCACGGCTTTCTTTTTAAACTGACTGCTGCTTATTTTCCAAAAAGACGAGAAGATGCGAGACATTTCCATAGAAACGGGGAAAACGAAGCTCTGAGAAGTGCATAAGAGTGCTGAGCTCGGAGAGGTGGTCTCATATCAGACGTCATACGCACACACACACGCACACACACACACATACTGACAGAGATCAGGAAGCGTTTTGTCATTCCGATTGCGCTGATTTGGCAGACTGCTGCTTCCACTGCTGTCTGCCTGCCTGCGTCCGCGTAGGTGTGACTCTCATCTTCTACACCTGCTGCAGACCTCCGCCCTCCTGAACAAGCACATGGACACAACCGCATCCAGGCAGCATGGGCTCCAGACTGAAGTAAGTTGGGCTCTTCATTTATTTTTATAAGTTTCATCACCACTCTGGCCGGCAGTCTGTTCTTGTGGTTTTCATTACTTCCTCTCGCAACTGCACAGGAAGTTTCCTGCAGCTCTCTGCTGCCTCTTGTTAGCTGGCATGCTCTTCATAGTGTGTGAAACCTGAAAGCGTTCATCTGTGTGTGTAGCGTGTGGTTTAAAGTTGAGTATAACTGAATATTTTGATGTAGTCACAACCAGTGGGGGATAAAATGTTAAGGTAGTTAACTAGTAAAAGTAACAGTGTTGAATATAAGTGAAAGCCCTGCATACAAAATGTTTCTGTAATCATCACTGTACAAACAGTAAATGTGCTTATTATGAAGAACGGGCCATTTCTATAATGCTTGGTAGTCTCATCTATAAAAGAAGTACCATGTTTTTTAGCCGATTGATATTTTGTGGTAATAAACTAAATGTGCAATTTAACGGAGTGAACCAGTGGAACATTCACCTCTGCAAGGTAGTGGAGTACAAGTACAGCAGAAAGAAATGACTGACACGTTTCATCCCGGCATGTGTTGATATACCTGTCTGTAACAGACAGTCTGCATTCGTCTTCAACAGAACACCTGAAATGATTATTTGAGCCACGCAAAAGACGTTGGGCCGATTCCCCTGGAATGTCTCTGCATCGATGTGTTCTGGTCGGCTCGGAGTCTCACGCGAGTGCTTTGCTCTCTTTCCCGTCAGACAAAATCCAGAGCGAACCTTCTATTGGTTCTTTGAAGCAACTTGCCCCGTAGCCAGAGACAAAGGTGAGTGGGCCGATGTAGTATTTCTGTGATTCCCGGTGTTTCAGCCTCTGTGGAGTACAATGGAAACATGTGTTGCATGTTCTGAAACTGTTTACATGCACATAGTAATTTGCCAGCAACAGAGAAGTTGATAAAAGATCGTTCCTCAAATTCTTCCTGTGAATTCATTCCCCTTCTTGTCCTCTTCCTGCATTAAACACAAATCCAATATTACTGTCTACTAACATCTGAAATTTGCCTCAAACCTAAAAAGCAACACAAACGAATTGGTGTTGTGGAATAATAAGATGAACATACTTTCTATATATATGTTATATATATATGTATGTATATGTATGACGGTATTTCTGCTCAGCCGTGTTGCTCGTACATCCTGTCATGTGATCGGAAAAACCACACTGCTGAAGCAGATCGTAGCGTGTTGTGATAATCTGACGGACTGAGCAGCTCGGCAGGAGCTGACGGGGTTAACAGTGCTACATGCTTTTTATTGACTTGAGAGATTTATTTAAATTACCCATGTGTTATGTTTTTATTTTTAATCCTTCTACTTTCCTCATTGTGGCTTTGTAAAATCCAGTTTGTTTTTCATATTGCCCAAGAAGTCCATTCATTTCTTCTTTTCATTGTGGCAGATCCTGGAGTTCTGTTCCAGTTTCCAGAGGACTTCAGTGACGAGGTCCGTGTCTCCTGCTTGTGGACGTATTGTCACGTTGAAGTGAATTGACTTCTCTGTGGAGGCTTTTTAATCCGTGCCAGCAGTGGGGCGATTGGATTGCAATGTTTGCTGATTTGTTGGTTCAGACTGAAATATCTCAGCAAGGCTTATATAAGACCAGATGAGATGCAACGTTATTTATCCAGGGGGGGAAATTGCTTTGCAGCAGCTGCAGAAAGTTGGAATGTGTACAAATACTAAAAGTTTCAAAATAAAATTAATAAAGTATTAATAACTATCAACATTGTTATCCAAATGTACTACATCCAGGTTGCTCTTATCTTAAATTATTTACTTGTGAGTTACATCGTATGAAAGGGACACACATGTACTAGCAATATTTGATGCATTGATAATGTTTAGTGATGACGACATGTAACATTAACATGGTCATTGTGAAGACGTTGTTGGTGTCTCAGAGCCACGCGTGTTACTGTGGACCTTTAGACTTGTTATGAGCTTTTATCACACACGCACAACGTTCTCTCTCTGCAGGAGTCCTGTCAAACATCCCCCAGGTTCTGCTTCCCGTATGACATTCAAAGGTGAGTCTAAACGCTCTAACTGAATCCCCCGAGTTAAATATGTCCACCTCACACTTCATTCATCTGCGCAGAGCGAGGGAGCGAGTGGCCGTGCAGCACTTTACTTTTGTTTTGACCGACCTTGAGGGATGCCAGCGGTTCGGGTTTTGCCGTCTCGCCAACAACACAAACACCTGCCTTTGCATACTCAGGTACGTGTGCACGGTGTGCGGGCGGCTGGGCGCTGTCTGACGTCATGATGTGAGCCCTTTCAAATCCATTTTGATTGCAGTTACCTTCCATGGTTTGAAGTGTTTTACAAACTTCTCAACAACTTGGCTGATTTCCTCACAAAAGGACAGGTGAGGTTGCTCTGTCTTCACCACTATCTCTAACCCACGGCATGAGTATCACTGACCTGACGGCCGTCGTGTCCTCACCAGACCCGTGAGACGACAGCCCTGCTGGCCGCCCTCTACCAGCAGCCCTTACCTCCAGCAGCTGGATCCGTCACTCTGCAGATGGTAAATCTCAAATTATCCCGCAGGTGTCGCTCTCCACCCTAAGGCTGTTCTCTGTCAGAGGTGAGCCTGTTGTGTTTTGTTCTGAGGGAGGGCAGCTGTTGGTCAGCACAGAGGTGTCCCATCCTATCGGACACCAAAGGGGACAAGAGGGGGTGAGTCCCACAGGCGGAAAACGTAAGCTGTCTGCGCTTGATGGCTAACCCCGTGTTGTGTGGACTAAGAACTTGTCATTCACCCCTCTAATAAAATGTTTTATGGCGTAACGCGATTTGCACTAACGCCTGCCGTTCATTGTGACTGTGCAATGTGTGCATCCATAACAAATAACCCATGATTGTACTCACCCAACAACAAACGTTCTGTCTTGGGACAAATCAAATCAACCTGCTCCATCTTGTGGTTTGTTATATTTTTAAGAGTTTCGTTCCAAAGTAACAAATCCTGCGCTTGGAAACACGTTCACATGTTTCTTTGGTGTGAGAATCGATAATATTGGTTAAAGATGTTATTAATAGAATGCTGGTTGATTTTGATAAGAGCAAGTCTAGTTTAATGCTTCTTTTAATGCGTCATTCTATTATCAATAAGTCGATAGAGCTCTGATAAAGTGTAACGACGGTGAATGTAGGTAATTCCTGATCGTAAAGGCATTGAACGAAAACACACCAGAAATACTTTCAAACACGTGTCAATCTTAAACATTGTAAGTAAGTTAAGTATGACAGTAGCTCACACAATATTTTGCATCCAACAAAATTGGTACAGAATTTTGGAATGAAACCGTAGGTGTGATCTTGTGATGCCCACGTGACTGCACAACGTTGAAGGCAACGTCCATTCAATTTGCTCCACTTTTCTTTATAACGCATCGTCTCCTTTTTCATTTTGTCCAGGTTCCATACTTCATTGCTCCGGATCCCGGAAGTCTCCCGTCCATCCCTGAAAATGTGAGTGTACACTGAACTAAACCCAGGCTTGGTGTGTCATGCAGCCGCTGGAGTTTTGTCCACTCTGCCCACTCAAACCGGTATGCGCGTGTCTGTGGGTTCACCAGAGGAACTTGACAGAGCTGATCGTGGCAGTGGATGTGGGCAACCTGCTCCAGCTCTATGCCAGCATGCTGTTTGAGAGACGCATCCTCATCTTTTCCAGCAAACTCAGCACTGTAAGACACACGTTTGTGTTCTTCTATTGATGTAGGGCTTTGTTGTTTTTGGAAACTCCCCTTAACCTGTAAACCGTATTGTGCTCAATGCAACTACTTGGAAACCAAAGTCAGCGCAGCTAAACTGTTCTTTTATTATTCTACCTTGGAAAAACCAATTGGCCGCCACATGTCCTACGGCCAACTACACAGACAGGCTTGAATGGAATTTAAAAAACTGTCCGTTTTTGTGTTGTGTGTAGCTGACGGCTTGCGTGCATGCACTCAGTGCTCTCTTATACCCGCTGTACTGGCAACACATCTTCATCCCCGTCCTGCCACCGCATCTACTGGACTACTGCTGGTAAGAAGTCTTTCTGTTCAAATCTGCATCCGTGCACATCTATCCACCTGTCTGTGTGTCCATCTGTCTCTATGTCTGTAACAGATTTACCTATTTCTATTTGGTCGCAGTGCACCCATGCCTTACCTGATAGGAGTCCACACCAGTCTGTCTGAGGTAAACTACTGAATGAAACCGTCCACGGATACTCAAATGCTACCAAACCTGTTAGTAGACCAGGTTTGTCACAGACAAAACCACAAGGCTGAACCAACATCACATCACAGTGTGTCTCTGTGTCTGTCAAACAGAAGGTGCGGAGTCGGGGGTTGGAGGAAGTTGTTATTCTAAATGTGGACACAAACACTCTGGAAACCCCCTTTGAGGACCTGAAAAGAATACCGTCAGATGTGGTAATAAACCGCCTATTGTAATAGAAATAAATGAAGATTAATGTTATATACTCCTGTTTGGTTTCCACCGCATCTGTGCAACCGTGACGTGAAAAAGAAATAAGACTCATAACAGACGTGAACAAACAAGGAAACAAAGCAGTCACCTGGTTACTTTAATGAATAACTTGTGTACACATACAAGTTCAATCAGTGATAACCAGCATCTAAAACGCTGTCCGAAGTACCTTCGTAGCCAGAAAGTGTTGAACTAAGAGCAGGGAGCAGCCTTTTTACATCCTTGTTCCTCTGATGGAAACCAAGCTATATTGTTATATTATTTCAGGAAATGTTCCTTTAAAAGTTTTAAATGGTCAAGGGATTTTACCAGATCTCCCCTCGTTTGTGTCACTCTATATAATATAGACTCTGTACCATCACCGATCTAACAAATGCATAATCATCGCCTGTAGCACATTCTTTATTTTTCATGTTCTCTTACTCGAATAGTGTTGGAGTAGCAGTTGCTCTTGATTTATATCACTGATATAAATGTACGCATGTCTCCAGATGTCCGGGCTGAAGGCATGTCTGAAGCGTCAGGCCGTGTCTCCGGGCTGTGGCGTCTCTCGGGCCTTCCTGAAAGCTCAGGCTCTGCTGTTTGGAGGCTACAGGGACGCGCTGCGGGGTCAAGAGGTCAGACCTCAAAAAGCTTATTATTGTTTCTTATTATAAAAATGAAAACCGTAGAGCAAACAATTAATGATGTGTTACTTTATTGTTTTAACTTTCAATCTCCAAACAATTTGGTCATTCTATGGACAGCACCATGCATTTTTGGTACTCAATGATTTCCTGATATTGGGCCTCTTGCAATATCTCTCTTTGCAGGATGGTGAGATGTGGTTCAGTGAGGAGATTTTTCAAGATCACAAGTCTGCCAGTATGAAGCAGTTCCTACAAAGTGCCATTCATTTACAGTCCTTCAAACAGGTACACGCTGTGCTTGGTGCTATTTAGGGACCTCTGCTGGACAAATGCTGTAACTAACACACTGGATAGAGGCCTGTTGAGCACAGCATTACAGTCAAAGGAAATGTCAACGGTTGTTAATAGATGTCGACCTTGATAAATATTCTAATATATAATAAATAATGAAATATTTTGTTTTGTTTTGAAGTTCATTGATGGCCGCCTGGATATTCTGAACGAAGACAAAGTACCAGATGATCTGTTTGAGGAGGAGATCTTAAAGTGTGAAACCGCTGGAGGTGCATTTGTGCGTCCGTGCATATGTGTGAGTGTGTGTGACATCACTCACTTACCACATGTCCTCTTGTGTTTCTGCCGGTTTGTAGGTAGGAGCAAATCCTATCAACAGTTAGTCGGTAATTTAAAGGTAAGTTCTTTCTTCCTAACCCCAATGAAACAGGAGGTTAGTGTTAAAAGGTCCAACACAAAGTCACTTGTGCCTTTTACAGAAAGGGGGAGGAGCGCTGATCCTGAACATGAAGTCCAAAGCAAACATGAGGGTGAGTGCCAGCCACGGTGTTTTTACTGGGTGGTTGGTCAGCATTACCAAAACGCCTCTATTCACGATGACTAAAATCTCCCCCAGGCCAAAGGTCTCGCCAAGTCTGGTTTGAAAAACCTGCTGATGCATAAGGTGGGCCAGCGTTCATGATGGTACAACTGAATTTAGCTCTCCTGTGGTTTCACTGTAATAAAAGAGGTTTGTTTGTTTTTTAGGCCCACAACGAAGAGCACACCCTTCAGAGGGGAGGATCTGTGTCGCACCGTCGCGCCCAATCCGACTGCTTACAGAACCGCCTGCCAATCACACAACACTTTGGGAGGGTGAGATCTTTCGGAAAACAGTCCCATATCTATTTTTTTAAATTAATATTCTACATAACACTGAAACAGAAACCATCCACACCATTCTTCATAATCACTAATCCTCTCTTCTTGTTTTGCTTGATTTCTATCCCTTTGCGCTTGTTATGCTCTCTTGCCTCGTGTCAGTCTCGTCCCCGCCGTCCTGTTCACAAACTCAGGGCTCCCAGAGAGAAGGAAGACGTGCATGATACTGGAGACACATGGGCAGGGTGAGAGTCAGAGAAAGGCTGAGAGATAGAAGGCTTTTTGAGAGAAAAAAAACGCTGGAAAAAACATAAAAATAAGCAGCATGTTTTTTGTTGTTTCGTTTTTTATCCCTGTGTTCCAGAGCGGAGTCTGAGCCGGCAGTCGAGCCTGACTCTGAGCTCCAGAAGGACAAAGAGGAGGGGGACGATTCATCGCTGTGCGACCCGGAGGAGATGGATCTGCTGGGGGAGATCTTTGACACGCTCAGCTCCCGGAGCTCACAGGAACGAGGCCTGCTGTACGGGACACGCAGCCTGGATCTGTTTGGACCGGACAGCCATGACTATATTACCAAGGTATGGAAATGAGAAGCTCTCTCTCTCTCTCTCGCTCACACACACACAAAGGTTGATTATGGTTTTACATTAGCTGTGTTTTCTAGGGCCGTTTTCCACCCAACCCGAGCCAGGAAAGTCTCAGTGGCAGTGGAAGCCTCCACAGCTGGAATCTAGAAACCACAGAGGAGCTGTCAGACCTGACGGAAGACTCTGATTGGCTGTGCTTGGACACCAGCGTATCAGAGCAGGAGGGGACAGACAGTCTTCTGGAGGTGTGTGAAGTGGGTGATCAAGAATTCAGACACGGGGAGGTCAGAGAGGACCAGGAAGACGTGAAAGTAGCAATTAACGGGAACCAAGAAGAAGAAATAGACAACAGAAAAAACTTTGAGGAAGTGAGGTTAGACAAAGAGACAAAGGAGGAGGGGATAGAAAAGAGAGGGAGTTTAGAAGACCCAGAAAAAGAAATTGCTGAGGAGCGAGAGGACAAACGCTTAAGAGGAAATAGGAAGGACGAGCAAAATCCGAATGAGGAGGTCGTTGAGGGCCGAGAGATGAAGGAAAGTGTAACACAGAAAAATGAAGCGGGGGAAGAGGGGAAAAATCAGCAGGAGGAGAAGATAAAAAATGTTACTCTAGACAAACTAATAATACCAAATCCCCACCAACCTAACGCTATGGAGGGCAATCTGAACCCCACATCTCCTTGTGGGCTACGACATCTCCTCGGGAATCCTGAACCTCCAGCAGCTCAGGAAAAGAGCAGTGAAGAAGCAGTAGAGGAGGAGGAGCGGGAGACGAGACCGACCCCCTCTGCTCCTAAAGTGCTTCCTGCTGCAGTGCGCTTCCAGTCTCAGGAGCACAGCCGGGGCTTTCAGGTGAAGTCCACGACCAAGGAGCTGTGTGAACCTGGGAGACCTCGCAACAAGCTTCACAGCAGGGACACGGCCCAAACGCTCCCATCATGTGACTCAAATATTTCACAGGCGAAAAAACGCTCAGAGGGGAATGAGGATGAAGAGCTGCCTCTAATAAAAGTGTCAGAACTGAAGAAGCGATTTGAAGCTTAGAAAATGGTGACATTTGTTTGTCTTTACAAATTACATGAAAACACACCAAAAAATAGCAATATGCAAGTCTGTTGTAAAGTGTGTCAGATAGATTTAGTCACTTGTTGAAACAGCTGGGCGCTGCAGGTTGAAGCAAATGGTACATAAACTGGAGTAAAAGGTTTTGGCGCACAGCCGAGTATTCAGGACGGTGTATATGGGACTGATTTAAAATAATCTTGTGAGTTCCTTGAAATGAAGAAGCCTTTAACAGTGTGGCTCACTGTTGTAATTTTCATGACAATAACTGAAACGTACGGCTTCTTACCAAGGTTTTGCAACTATTTAAGCTGAGTTTTGTTCATTCGTCTGAATATTACTTGATTAAATAGCTTTTGCCTTGCACTTATAATTAAGGCAATTACGCAGTGTGGTTGAAATAAATACGTTTTCCAACAGAGAGGACCGGTTTTGAATATCGGTTACCGTATGATGGCCTATTTGTTTCTCACACGTAAATATTTGTGTGCGTGTGTGTGTGTGAGATAAATGCTCCAATTACCTAAAACTGACAAATGAGGATAATTGTTGCATTTTCTGGCAAGTCGTCACTTTGAATAACTCAAAAGCCCAATAAAGGAACCTTCGTTCAATGACCCAGTACAATGGAGAGAAAGGATGTGCATATTTATGATTTATTTACAGAACACCTTGTTAACAATACACAAATGATTGTAGTCACTGTATGATTTTTCATTTTTTAGAAATTCAACTTGACATCAAAGTGCATCAGTGTTTTAATCAATGCCCATTACTGGAAATCATACGTGTGTATATATTATATATAAAACCCAGGGTAGACGAAAAATATAGTAGCCTCTGTACAAATACAAAATATACTTAAGTTTTTTTAATGTGGCAAAATAAATGGAGTGAGTTCATTTGAAAACAAAAATACCACGGAAACACACATTTCCTCCTTTCTTGCAGTGATGGAATCTGTGTATTGGATGTGACCAAGATCAAAACGGTACAAACAGTGTTGAGTGTCTCCGTAGATTTTCCCGTGCTAAAGACAGCAATGTCAGAAGAACCCGGAGGTTTCCATCTGCAGGTTCACCATGTTCATCATATGAGGCGTTCTTCTTTGGGCAACGGGAGAGGCAGGCCAGGTTTTTCAGATCCCGGCGATCCCACCTGTTTCCTCTCCTCCGCACTGGGTCTGTATTTTCCCTCCAGCCTCCTTTTCTTCCTGATGACACACAGCAGCAGCAGCAGAGCCAAGCTGAGCAGGGACAGCACGGTGGACACAAACACTGACACTATAGGTGGGATCGACACCTGCGTCGCCATGGTGACAGCCAGCTGGGGAGGGGGTTGCACACAGATCAGGCCAAGGCGTCAGTAACCGTATAACTCGATAAAACCATTGATTAATTAACATGCTGCACGTAATCAATGTATCGACTGAAAATGCAAAAATGTGCATTTGTCCACAGGCAAGAATGAATATATTCTCTAAACGGAGCTTTTCTTTCCTATATAAAATACAAAAATTCAATACTTCCAGAAAACAACAGACCAATACAATACAAAACGTAAGTCACTGCCAAACAGAAACCCAACACATCCTTCTTGAGGAAATAGAGAGTATTTATAAAGCTCATGTGCAATCAGCTCAGGTATGCACAGTGTCTTTGTGTTCGATGCACACAGTTAATGAGTGACCGAAAATCTTACACCAGGAGCTTTGAATACCAGGGGAGAGAGAGCGAGCGAGCTTATCCACTCTAAACATTGACCGAGGGACGGCTAAAACATGTAGGAATAGCATTTAAGGTACTGCCAAGACCTAAAGCACTTTGCCAAGGCGTTGAAGACTAGCTGCTCTAGAATTTGTTTTATTATTATTTTAGTTGCCAGCTTTGTATAAAATATAAAGACAAATCGTTCGACATTCCAGGCAGTACAAAGTTCACATTTTCTCATTCAATGAGAAGATGTGTCCAAACCTCTGACTGATAACTTAGTCCAATATAAACACCAGGAATAATGATAGATCATAATGAAAAGATCAACATTCCTCTAATCTACACTCAAAATTGGATTGTATTAACATTTCTGCTGGTTTGGTGATGGACTGAAAGTTAGGTCCTAAAAGGCAGAGGAGGTAGAATGAGAAGAAATGTGGATTTATAAAAGCACAAAACACTACATCAGAAACCATCAGTGGATTAACGTATTGTCTGGTCACTTTTTGTTTGATCTCAAATGTGGGGATTTGCTGTTTTGCTTTTATTTCAATTTTAGTAAAGCAATACATCGTTTTAAACATGCACAGATGACAATTATTCCTTTGGGGTTCTTTGAGGCGGTGGCTGGTGTTGTACAGGAAACACAATTAAGTTATAAATAATAGTTAATGGCCAAAATGCTGAACATCCCAAAGAATCTGTGATTTGGGCTGTTAATCCACCTTCACTTTGTGATTGGGATGAGTGTAAATGAGTCTACAACTTAACATACCCCACACGAATGAACAGCAAACCCTGATAAGAACCACAGAAGGAACTCAGCAACACAACGATGCATTCATTACAAAAGGACAACACCACTCTCAACGCAGGTGTCCTTCACCGTAAACGCCCCAGGCACAAATTGCCTTCCCACGTGTTAAATAAGCTGTGCTCGCTTCAATCAGAAGTCAGAAATGAACGCGCGCACGGCGGAACGCATCAGGTCCTGCGACACCTGTTCGACCGGTGCCGTCTCGGCTCAGGTGAGCCTGCTGCGGTGACGTCACAGGTGAAACCGCTGACAGGTAAAAAAGGCACGGAGGCTACGTGGTATCGTGTTGTGAAAGGATTAGGCGGTTTTTGCAGGTTACCTGTCTGTCATTGAGTGTTCAGGTGAGATGACCGACGTGTCCCGGATGTAACTTTTGGTTCAAAGCAAGATGCTCGGACGAAGCGCCCAAACCCTTAATTCGGTCAGGCGTCGGTGTGATCGTGGCAAAGCTGAAGCTATTTGCTCACACGCTCACCTACCTGTCCAAATGCAAATGAGCCGCGTCACGTGCCATGTCTGCGCCAATCAGAAACGGATCCGGATATCTCTTTCTCTTTCTCTCTCTCTCTCTCTCTCTGTCTGTCTGTCTGTCTGTCTGTCTATATAATCCTACATATCATCCCCACTGATCAACATCGGGAATTGCAATATGTAATATATATATATATATATAATCATACACATACAGTATGTTGCCATATAGAAATTACGATTCAATTTGTCCTTGTCTAATTTGGGATTTTTTTTTAAACACAAACCACATAGAAAAGGCCCGGTGCAAATAAAGGAGGCTTTAGGCTTCAGCAGAGGTCAATCTGGAGTGACTTACTTTCATTAAAACTTTTAAAACAAACTTTGTTCAAGTCCAAATAATCTGGACTCTGGACACGCAGAACAAACACACGGTGTGGCTGCCAAAGGCCCAATCAGTTACCAGAAAATAGGACAGAGTTATCCAGAATAAAAGTTAAGCAAAGAAATTATATTCTTTAACACAAATTACACTGCAGAAAAAAACAATATGCTTTGTGGCAGGTGTGGAAAGTCCATCCATCCATCCATTGTCAAACCGCTTATCCTGCACGCAGGGTCGCGGGGGGGCTGGAGTCCATCCCAGCCAGCTTCGGGCGATAGACAGGGTACATCCTGGATTGGTCGCCAGCCAATCGCAGGGCTACACAGAGACACACAACCATTCGCACTCACATTCACACATCTATGGGCAATTTAAAGTCTCCAATTAACCTGATCCCCAGAGCATGTCTTTGGACTGTGGGAGGAAGCCGGAGAACCCGGAGCGAACCCACGCAGACACGGGGAGAACATGCAGACTCCACACAGAAAGGCCACTGGGCGGAATCGAACCCAGGACCTTCTTGCTGTGAGGCAACAGTGCTAACCACCACGCCACCGTGCCGCCCTTAGGTGTGGAAAGTATTACAATTAATTTTGCAGGCAGATTGACCTTACTTTTATATGTGAGCTTTAAAGGACAACATCTATGAGCCTTCCATCAATAATGAGAAATAAACTTTCAAAGTGGAACAAAAAATGTAAAAGTGGAATTTTGTGTAGTAAATGTTCAGTAGTCTGAGTCAGCAACCCCCTTTCTATTTCCAATAGTTCTAAAAAAGTTAATTATGCAATGCCATAGTATTACATTACAGGTCATTTAGCAGACACTTTTATCCAAAGCGACTAACATTACACTTTAAACCTAGGCTTTTTTTTCACATTTTTGCCCAGGGAGCAAGTAGGGGTTAGGTGTCTTGCTCAGGGACACTTCGACATGGAACATGGGGCAGCCTGGACTCAAACCACCAATCTTGTGCTTCACAGCACACCTTCTCTAACCCCTGCGCCACGACGACCCCCACGCAACAATAGGGTCATTCGACCTACAAAGTTAGAAATACAGGCAAAAAAAATATGGCTCTACTGCACTTGCAATGCATTTAGTTTGAAATAATAGTTAACGTTTTGTAACATTTGTAACAATAACTCTTTCTGCACCTCTGATGCTCACTGTAATTTTGTATTTTGATCATTTTAAAAGTAGAAATACTCAAATGTGGTTATGTGCTGTGTTTTCTTTCTTTCTGGGTCACAATGGGTCTGACTGCCATATTCATTTTCTGAAAAATCTATTCAGAAACTACATTTTTAACATACTAGATTTTTGTTTTTGGCTACGTTGTCCAAAGACATGCACTGGGGATCAGGTTGATTGGAGACTCTAAATTGCCCCGTATGTGACTGTGAGTGTGATGGTTGTATGTCTCTGTGTTAGCCCTGCGATTGGCTGGCGACCAGTCCAGGGTGAACCCCGTCTATCGCCCCAAGTTGGCTGGGATTGACTCTTTTGATCAGATCGTCACTGTAGAAAAGTCCCTGCTGTTGAAACCTAAAAAAAAAACCTGCCACTTTTCCGAGAAATTACGCAACATAGCTCTCACCTGAGTAGTTGTCTGTGTGCAGGTTCAATGTGTTTGTTTGTTTTGTTTTGGGGTAAATATGCTGATTTATCAAGTCCACAACAAGATTTAAAATGAACACAAAACGCCCCTAACAAGTGTCCCTGTAGAAAACATTTTAAGCTTTTTTTTGTAATGTTGCTGTGAACTGTTCATTCCAGAAGTTACTCAATCACATAAATCTTCTCTGATTTTTGTGTTGTTTATCTTTGTCCTCAGAGCAGAGATAAACTCTCTCCAAGCTCAACTGTTTCTCAATCGCTGCTGGGAAATGATAACAACGATAATGTGGGTATAAGTTCATATGTGTGTGCAGAAACCCTCGGTCAGGTAAGGCGGAGGTGCAGGAGGAGGGTGGACGGAGGATAAAAGGCGAGTGACAGCCTTCATTCACTGCAGATCAGTCAGGAGGATGAGTAGGACGATGTGGTGGCTGGTGGCCTCTGTGGCCTCGACCCTCCTCACTTGCCTGGCTAATGGAGCTCCATTGTAAGTAGACCTGCTTCCCTTCACCCGCTGGCTGGAATTCATTCCCCCAAAAAAGCGCTAAAATATGCAATTTGTTTGTTTTTCATATTTCTGATATTTACAGTATTATTGAATTCTAACGGGAGAGAGAAC